GACCAGGGAGGATGATTCAACCACTCAACCACTAGATGTTGCTGAAAACAACAAATCCTACACACTGTGCCTTTAATTACGATAAATTATGATGGTAAATTTTTTTTTATCACAACAATTTTCTACAAAAGCTGCAGAGTTCCAGTCGTGATTTGGTGAAACCTGTTTTCCAGGTGTACATAAAGCTGTGTGGTGAGCGTGGAGTCTCACAGACGAAGGAACTCCAAGTCCCAGGATGCACTCTGTTCAGGAGGAACTCCAAAGATTCCTTCATACTGAGGTAAAACTCTCCAGAATCTCCACGTTYGCTGTCAGCAAACTTTCTTTCAGAAACAGAAGCTTTGTGTGTSTCCGGTCTCCAGTGCGGCGGACTGCCTGGGTCCTGTGTGGGGGGTCCACATCTGGCACGACAACTCTGGTCCTTCTCCTGACTGGTACATAAAACAAGTGACGGTATCTGAGGTAAAACCTCTTTTTTTAAAATAAAATCTGCTTCAGTTGGAGAATGAGGCTGAACTTTTTCACCTGTTTGTCCTCCAGGTGAGGGGCGGGCAGGTGGGCCGCTCGTGGCTGTTTGTCAGCGAGTGCTGGTTGGCTGTGAATGAAGCTGACGGCCGAGTGGAGAGGTTGCTGCGTGTCGGTGGACTCGGCTTCGCTCGGGTACGACGATCCTTCACGCAGAAAGAGTTTTAAACGTTCGCTCTCTTGTTTGACTCCGAACTCGCCGCTGCAGATGCTGTTTCTCAGGTTTTCCGACTACATGGCCGATCACCACACCTGGATCTCGGTGTACAGCTGCTGCCGGCCCGGCTCCTTCACTCACACTCGGAGGCTCGGCGTGTGCGCGTCRCTGCTGTCGGGGTGCGCAGCGGTCAGCGCCGTCGTCGTAGCACGAACAGACGACCAGGTGAGCGAACAGAGCCGCTGAAACCAAACGTTTTCATAAAGAAGCGCTCTTACGGTGGTGTCCTTCTGGTTTTTGTTGGCAGCTGGAGTCGAGCTCRGTTGTTTCTCTTACAGCAGGACTTCTGAGCGTAGCGATTGTGTTACCTGCAGCAACATTTATGTCCTTCGTGTTTCGGTTCTGTGGGATCAGAGTGACAGGATCAGGAGTCAGATCGACTGCCAAGAAGGATTCAGAGGGTCAGGTTTGATTTCAGTCCTTTAGGACAGGGGTTCTTAACCTTTTTGACCTCGGGGCCCTATTTGTTGAATATAAAGAGGCACGAGGCCCAGTCACACATTACCAGTGTATGGATCAAAATGGTAATTATTCTAAATCTTGGTTTAATTTTTATTGTATTTACATCATAACTAAACAATAACTAACATAACTAAATTAAATACACTTACAGTTTAAAAGTAAAACTCCTGTCAAATAATCACAACACATGATTATGACAAACATTTTTATATTGTAACCTGCCCATAACAATTATTTGAACAAATACAAAGGTCAGTCAACAGACCACTCAGGCTTATCAACACAAAAATATATATTTAACATAAACAATAACAAAATAGACAATAAAAAAAATAAAATTGTGGGCATAAAATAAATAAAATGTTTAATGTAAATG